AGAAAGAAAGAAAGAAAGAAAGAAAGAAAGAAAGAAAGAAAGAAAGAAAGAAAGAAAGAAAGAAAGAAAAAAAAGGAGAGGAAGGAAGGACTACATACCTGCACTAGATGCAGCTTCAGAGGATAATCCAGGGCTGGAAGGGACCTGGAGGTCATCTAGTCCAACCCTGCTCCAGCAGGACCTTGTTAAAGTGAGTTTCTCTCTTTTGATCCCCCAGTTACATGACTACATAGCCACACCCTCCCAGTCACATGAAGCCACGCCCACCAAGCCACACCCACAGAACCTATAGTAAAAAAAAATTAGATTTCACCACTGGATATTTGGCTCTGAAGTAATGATGTACTGACTTAAGACACTGAGCAAAATGACCTAGGAAAATGCTTCTAACTCTATGGCCTTTTCGGTTGTGATGGAATAAGGAGATGAATTGGGCAAATGCTATTCTAGCTGTAGTTAGCAGATGTGTTAATATGTACTTACTTTTCTTTGTATATTTCCCGTTGATTATTCCCAGTAGAAAAGAATTACCATGTCATATTCTTGGTTTTGGGCCTGACGCTGTTTGCTTTCTGCAAATTGTCCACTAGCTTCATTTTGCTGCTCATATTAATCCAGTAACTTCCGTAAAGCTGTTTCTTGAGATGGCATCTGGAGAACTGGGCCCCAAACAGGTCTTTGGAATAAGTTAGAGAAATAATGTTCCCTCCGATTTTCATAGGTGGCATCCTTGTAAGGAAACTCTTGGTTTTTACACAGCTACAGGTATGAGGTATTTTCTTCCTCCTCCAATTCAACTATCAGCGTCATCCCATGTCTGCAGGATCGAAACTCAGGCTTGGAAAGAACTCAGACAAAAATTCAGACAGGTAAGCGCGTGTTTAAGAACAAAATCAACAACATATTTCCTGTGGGCTTTAAAAATCTAATATTTAAACTTGGTCAGACTTGGCTGTTCTGATTCTCTGAAAAGATTCCACCTCAAATGTGGGAGGAGAACTCAGTGTCTCTGAAACTATCTCTAATTTAAATTTAAACCCAGCTGTGTAACCTCTGAGAATTCCATCAACGTTGGAAATGGAATTAAGTCACTTGTCATCTTAATTTTAATTTCGACTTGCATATTGGGACAGTTACAGGGTGGGCAAAAGCCCAAGTAATGTTCCATGTGATAGGATGCCACAGTTCAGAGCTTTTGCATGACGATATCATGATGCACTCATGATTTTTGATGTCATTGTAGCCTCTAATTGGATACTTAACGATTGCANCGAGGACTGATAAAGAGAGTTCCTTTTAAGTTTGTCTGCCTGTTGTCTGTTAACAAGCGGAGAAGTGGGGACAGAACAGCTTTGTATCTACCTCTGTATTTGATAGACCTGAAACGGGAAAGTTATGATGAAGCAAATTGCTCCCCTATTTTGCACAGTTGAACTGAAAATTCTTTGGCGCCCTTTTCTTCTAACAGATATTTCTCGGTGCGTTGTCATTTGTTTACTTTGCCAAAACTCTGTCAGGAAGCTACCTGAAAAGTACCATCACTCAGATAGAAAGAAGATTTGATATCCCTTCTTCTCTAGTTGGCCTAATCGATGGGAGCTTTGAAATTGGTATGTTATATACACATTCTCCATCTTTTGCAAATAAGCTAGCAATATATTTTTACAAGTTCATCTTCTCCGTACCTTCATCCTTCTTTCTATGTTTCTTAAAGGGAACCTTTTAATAATAATTCTGGTGAGCTACTTTGGAGCCAAACTTCACAGACCCAAAATAATTGGAGCTGGGTGCATAATTATGTCACTGGGAACATTTCTGATTGCCATCCCACAGTTCTTTATGGGACAGTAAGTATAATGGTTAAACATTTAGTGTTATCCTATAGCAAGTTGACTCGGGAAATCTAGGGAGTTGAAATCCACACGTCTTTAAGTTTCCAAAGAGGAGAAACATTAAATCCAACTGGACTTTCTTCTTTTTCTTTGAAGATGTTTCGCTTCTCATCCAAGAAGTTTCTTCAGCTCTTCTTCAGCTGAAGAAACGTCTTGGATTCTCAAATCAAAACATCTTCAAAGAAAAACCAAAAAAAATTGTCCATTTTCCTCTTGGAAAAGCACTTTGGGGACAACCGTGACCTGGAGGGCTGAGAATCTCCACAGATAGACACTGACCCGGAATGCAGGCTTGAGCATAAAAATTCTGAGAGTTGAAGTCCACATATGTTCTACTTGCCCAGGTTGAGAAACGCTGATCTAAAGGATATCAATAACTTTTCATTGCTGGAGCAGCCAATGGGATATTTGCAGGGGTGAAATGCTACTGGTTCGGGTCGCTTCGCCTGAACTGATAGTAAAAAAATGCTATTGGTTTGCAGAACCGGTAGTAAAAAAATGCTTTAAAAAAAGTTCTCTGAAGCCTGCTAGGCCAAAAACGGGAGGTGGAGGGTGCTGAGAAAGAACGAAAGAAAAAAAGAAAGGAAGGAAGGAAGGAAGGAAGGAAGG